TAAATTGAATACTTGCCCCGTAATACATAGCGGTGTCAAATCCAGAAAGTTGTTGAAACAATTGTAGCCCGCAGGAAATTATAAGTGGACCAAGGTTTGGGTATTTGAAGAGTTTTTTGTACGAGCCTGTCGCATTTTGTGCTATCGTTTCTTGAATTATCTCAATTTCTGTTGAATTCGAATGATAGCGAAGAGTTTATTTGACAAATCTAGTGGAGAGGATGCAATTACCATGAAAAGAGGGGATCACCTTGACTCAAGAAGGTTTGGTAGGCGCCAGGATAAATTTTAGCCAATATTCTTTTGGCTTGTTCAATTTTACCCTTGCGCACGAGATAACGCGGACTTTCTGGGATAAAGATCATGCCTGCGTTTAACAAGACATGTCAAAGAATTGCCTGCTTCCACCTGCGCGCTGAGAAAACATAGCAAGATATTTTTGAAACTTACAAATCAATTGTATCGCAGGGGGAATTCCCGAGACGCCAAACATCCATCTCCACCCTCCCTGAAACACAAATCCTGCGGCGATCAAGTAAGCAAAGAGTTGTCCCCCAGTACACATCAATATGTTCACCGTGACCAAACGACCGCGATAAAACCTCGGAGAAATCTCGCTTATGTAGATCGGTACTATTTGAGACGATGCACCCGCCGCAATTCCAACCACGAGTCTTCCAAATAGCAGGAGTTCATAAGATGAGGCTAGTGATAGAATAAGTGCCCCACCGATAAAAATTATCGCGGCAACTAAAGAGGTCATGCGCCTTCCCACGAAATCCGAGAATGAACCTGTTTGGGAAATTTTTGGATGGCATCACAATCAAAGGGTCAAGGTGAGGGTTAAGAAGAAACAATGGGAGGGGGGGGAGGTATTCACCTGATGTCAGTCCGCCGAAAATAGCCCCAAGAGTTGTGGCTTGTTAAAAATTTTTTGTCCATTGTAAATTCAATCAATCGCCCATTCCAAATAAAATTTTCGTATCAATGCAATAAACAGTATAGGAGTAGTAGTACATACCACCAACGACCATCCCTTTTTGAAGAGCCGTCATGGTAAAATCATTTTCCAGTAATAGCATAGCGCTGCTTATGACACCGGTGTCATATCTACAGAACGGACAACATTGAAATCCAAAGAAACGCATGCGTTAACGAACAAATGAACGCATGAACAATGGAATAATACCAAGGTCAGTCCTTACCCAAACATAAATCCACCAATCGAAATCACAAAGGTCGCAACGTAAACGAAGGTTGTTACCTTGGTCGTTTCCTCGACCTGCTTCAACACGGGATCATCGAAGTGTAGATGAGACCGTTTTTTCAAGTCCTCAGAGTCATCCGTCGAACTCCTCGTTCTTATTTGATCTTCCAGCTTTTCTTCCATCAGAGGTTGATACGGGATGTCCGGCTGTTACAAAGGTTGTATAGGTTAAAAATTTCTCAAGACTTCCTTGATAAGCGATGAAGAGTGGGATTTTCAGAACAATTATATCATTGTATTACGTACATCACCCTTCCTCGAATTTTTCCCCATTACCTTTTTTTGCAAGTTTATCACACGCGCGCTGTAAATTCAAGAGTTTTTTCGCACGGTGA